GAGAGAGAGAGAGAGAGAGAGAGAGGAGAGAGAGACCGACAGACAGACAAAGAGCAAGCAGATTTGTAGTTAAACAGATTGGGGATCAAATCCTGCTTCTCCAACTAATCTTGTAGAGGGTCAGCTTTGAATAGGTTCAGACTCAAAGCAGTGGGTCAGTATTCTGATGCAAATGTAGTAATTTCTTTCCTCTCTAAGAGGATATTATCTGTTCAGATTGGAATGAAGCAAACCAGATTACATATGCTGTTTGTAATTACATTTAGTATGGCAGAAAATCTTACTGCTTTTAACTACTGTGCGCTCTTTTATTTCAGCAGAGTGGTTAAGGACAGTAGAGCTAGACTTAGCTTCAAGCCTAGCTCTGCTGGTCCACTAGGAGAGGTTATGTAACTTAGCTAAGCCTCTTTGTTTCCTCTTTTTAACAAGGGTTCAAGGTAAGAATGTAACAAAGTATTGGGCACAGTGCCTTGCAAGGAGCAAATGTTCAGGAATGGATGTATAGATTAATTTGCATTGCTCTATGAGTGAAAACTGAAAAACTGTGATTCCTAGTCTTCTATAGGATCATTATCACCAATCCCTTTTTCCATTAGCTTTCTTCACCCAGTCTTCATAGGAACAATTTAACTCTCTTTGGGGATTGTTGTTAAGTGCCGTCCAGTTGTAGATGACTCACAGTGACCCTGTGAATGAAAGACCTGAACACTTGTATAACTTGTATATCATTTCTCCAAGTTCATAGGGTTTCCGGAGGCCAGCTGTTTGGGAAGTGGATGTCACTCCTTCTTCTAAGCTTGTTTTAATGGGGAGCACCACCAAACACTGTCCACCATGGGTAACCATGATCGCATTTGACACATCAGTGTCACAGTGTTCAGCTTCACGGAAACCACAAGTTACCTCTGTACAGCAATGCACAAACCAGTGCTATACCACTTAGAAGAATGTTTGACCGAAACCAATTAAAATTGGGTGCAAAACTATTTCAGAATGACTAAACGGTGGTTGAGTTCACCTGCTGGACTATGGCCTCTCATTTCTTACTCATGATAGCTTGTGTGAAACCT